CTTTGGGCAAGCCTGTCAAACCAAGCATCCACCGATGAAATAGAGTCGACTGAGAACTTCCAGGCTCTTTGCACCATTGGGGACGAGTACTAGCTGAATCATATCGGTCGGCGTAGACTGACTTCCCTCCCTTGTGCTCTGTCGAACACGAGGACGGCCGGGACGTCTTCCGTTTCATGAGGAGTGACGTCTTCGAGGTGGACGACGGCACATTTGTAGACGAACGCCATAATGTTTTGCCTTGTCTGGTGCCCGGACTGTTTGTTGACGTCCGCCCCTCAACTTCTGCAAAACGAGTTGTCGTGCAAAGCGAGACCATTCCAGTGTCTGCTCAACAAATATACAGCGGTTGGTGGCGGGGGTAGCAGTACCACTAGTGGTGGCTCCGACAACAAATCAGACCAGGGCCCACCGGAAGTGGCAGTGGTCGGGACTCCGATGATAACTCAGACAGCGCACGGTACCGCAAACCACAGGAACCAAGCAATGCTTCACCAAGATCGGATAATTATTTGTAAATAACTTTGGTGTGGACTGAAGCACCCCCCAGCCTTATTCTGAGCCATGGCCTCTTCTCGCGCCAACAAGCGCGTGAAAGTTTCGTCGTCAGCTAAGGAATCCGTAACGACGCTCGACAACAAGGCATTCGATGAAAAGGACGTGGCCGAATCGAAAACGCACACGAAAATGACTTTCCGGTGCCCGGTCACGATCGACAACGTCTTCACCGCGCCGACGCCTACGCAGGTCAAGGTGTTCTACGAGTCCAGGAGCAGCAAAGGGAAACCTTTTGATTACTTGCCCGAAGGCGAAAAGCTTGCCTGGACCGAGTCGTTCCACGACAACAAGACCTTGATGGGATTCATTGTGTACACCCAGCTTTTCCCCAAGCTGTTGCAGAACAGAATCAAGCTCAACGCCGCAACGTACCACTGGGCGCATCTGGACAACTCTTCGGAAAAGGGGAGGACCAAACTCGAACAACGTCGCAACGCCGTAGATAGGCTCAAGAGAAATGGCTTCACGCGCTCGGTCTTTATGGGACTTTCGTACAGGGTGGACACCTCGGCAAACATACTGGCCTACATGAAGATGAACGTAGAGGAAGAGGACGAGCGCTTCAGGTTTTTCACCAAGCGCGAGTTCTCCATGATTTATTCGAAGCGGGGGCAAGTCGGCAGTTCGTCGGTGTACGTCTCGTGCTCCATGGCACTGTCCCTACTCTGGTTTGCAACGGCGGTTTTGGCCCGGCCCTGCTGCCTCGAGTCTATCATCCTACCACTCTCCATCACGGAAAGGCGAACCATGGAGCAGAGATTCAAGTGCCCGCCGCAATTTTTCGACGGGCCCATCCTAAGCTTTCAAACCAACTGGAAAGACGTGTTCGCTGCCATCGACACGCATCATCGGAACATCAACTACACGATGCTCGAGAAAGCGTGCGAAGACAAGTACATTGAGGGCGTGCACATTGCCGATGTCTATGCCGTGTTTCGAGCGACCATGACGGCCCCAGATGACATGGACAGTATCGCGGCATTGGTGCGATCGTACAACCAACATGCGAAGCACGGGGTCGAATCCGGGGCTGTGGTAGGCGTCATTGATGTCATCAGGGACAAACCGGTCGAAGCCATTGGTAACATCGACGGCGGGTTTCTAGGCAGCATCTTTTCTACCTATGGAGAGAGGGAGTGCCTCAAGGTCCAAGCGGAGTGCAGCAGGCTGGAAGGAGGGTCGTCTCTGTTTGATGACAGTGTCAGCACCAAGCTAAGTGAGATTTTGGCCCACTTCGATTGCGAGCTGTGGAAGGCCCGAAAGAAGGACAAGGTGGAGCGGGTCGTTGCTGCGAACATGGACCCCGCCGGCATGAACAAAAAGATTGAGGGAGGGAAGATGCTCGACCCGACAGACCCGAAATCAATTGATCTCATGCACACAATGCTTCAGACTATCTCGGGACAGGTTTGGAAACCCCTGAAGAAAATGATTGGGGAAGCGCTGGGGGCAAGCCTCGAGTACCCGGCCGCCTTCCTGCGCATTACGCAGGAAGAGGGAGAACAGCTACACAAGCACGTGCTAACTGCGGGGGTGACGTACACCGACGTGGCTAACCTCTGGACACTGCTTCTCCTGAGCTTCTCGTTCCAGCGCTCGCAGGTGCTGCGAGAAGCAACCGTCGACGAGTTTGTGCTCGTGCCAGACGCGACGCACTACAAGTTTTCGTTCAAGAACAGAAGGTTCAAAACAGCAACTTCGGGAGGGACCTCATCTGCACCGTCTGTGTCACACTTTATGCTGTCGCCCGATCAGTCCATGATCACACGGCTCATAGCTATCGTGGGACACAGGTTTGCGGCACACTATGCTTGGACAATGAAGCCAGGAGGCTGTTTGTCAACACCAAGGGTCAGAGCTGGACGCAGAAGGACATATCGTCGCGCTTCAAGAGAATTGGCATGCATTGGTTGGGCATCTCCAATTTTGGGCCCCCATGTCTGTCGAACCTTTTGGTCCACGCATGCCCTCAACTCTGGACAAGTCAGTGGCTCAAATTTGGAGGACTTCAGTAGCTTTCTGCAAGTTTCGAGTACCACTCTGAGGAACAGCTACATGGCGGCATCCGCGAATACCGCCGCGCACACCGTGGGAAACGAAGTGTTGGGGGCGGTAGTAAACTCCGCCTGCACGGGAGAAATGACAGAGAAGGGTGCTCGGCCGTACGGGAAGAAACTCAGCGCTAGGAGGCTTGAGTTTGCGGGAGAGATTCGAGCCTCTCTCGCAAAGTACAGTGGTGATGGTAGACTGCTGTTCCGTGCTCTTTTGCAGAAGAGGGATTCTTCTCAGCTTGTAGAGGGAGAGAAATGGTTCCGTTGGGAGAATACTTTTTTCAGTCAGAGCGATGAACGGCTGTTTCAGCGATTTGTGGATAAGATGAACGCCTGAGAATATATTTCTGGAACCTGTCAGTGTAGAAAAGCCCCTCCATTTGGGGCGAGTGTCAAAAAGTTATATTTTACAGCAATAGTTGGATGTGTGGCAGGGAGGAGTTACTACTGCTGTAGCTCGCGTGGTTCGACCGTGCACAAGGCAGAAGTGGGGTTTCAGTTATTTTTCTATCCGACAGGAGCGTCTCAATGGCTTCACAATTGCAAAGCACGCGTAGAGCCCTTGTACCGTTCGCGCATTAGTACCATAAGACTACTTTCACAGATGTTGGAAAGTTGAACGTAGTTTGTGAAAGCCAGAATCCGAAATCAGACGGCCTGGTTTTGAGACGTCAGCTATCAACTTGATCTACCTTGCAAATAATTGTGGGACAAACCAACCGAGCCGATGGCCAATAACACGGCCGATGCGTGACAAGACGCGCGACAGAAAGACAACTTGCGCGAACCCATGGTCGGCAGCCGCACGGCGGAGACGCGAAGACGCGCGACAAAACAAGAACTTGCTCGAAATGATGGCCGGCAACAGCAGAACGAGACCTTGCTCCAACCGATGGCCGGCAAAAACACGGCCGAGCCGCGAAGACGCGCCACAGAACGAGACCTTGCTCGAACCGACGGACGCCACGGCCGAGCCGCGAAGAAGTGCCGCAGAACGAAAACTTGCTCGAACTGATGGCCGGCAACAACAGAACGAGACCTTGCTCGAACCGATGGCCGGCAACAACGGCCGAGCCGCGAACACGCGCGACAGAACGAGAACTTGCCGGAACCGATGGCCGCCACCACGGCCGAGTCGCGAAGACGCGCCACAGAACACCAACTTGCCGGGACCGAACGGCAACAACACGGCCGAGCCGCGAACACGCGCCACAGAACAACTTGCTCGAACTGATGGCCGGCAACAACACGGCCGAGACTTTGCTCGAACCGATGGCCGGCAACAACGGCTGAGCCGCGAACACGCGCCACAGAACGACAACTTGCTCGAACTGATGGCCGGCAACAACACGGCCGAGCCGCGATTACGCGCCACAGAACGACACCTTGCTCGAACTGATGGCCGGCAACAACAGAACGAGACCTTGCTCGAACCGATGGCCGGCAACAACACGGCCGAGCCGCGAACACGCGCCACAGAACGACAACATGCTGCAACGGATGGCCGACAACGGAAAGACGCGCGACAGAACGAACTTGCCGGAACCGATGGCCGACACCACGGCCGAGCCGATCAGCGACAGCACGAGCGGCGGCTTTCCCCTACCCATGCGGTACGCTACAATGTATGTCTACGGGTATATCTCATGGTAGAGGGTAGGGTGTCTGGTCACATCATCAGAAGACTGGTTTTAGTATCAAGAGACCAGTTTCACAGTTGGAAAATTTAATGTAGTTTGTGAGAGCCAGAATCCGAAATCAGACGGCCTGGGTTTGAGACGCCCGCTATCAACTTGAGCTATCTTGCAAATGAATGCGGGACAAACCGGCCGAGCCGATGGCCAACAACACGGCCGAGCCGCGAGAAGACGCGCGACAGAACGAGACTTTGCCGGAACCGATGGCCGGCAACAGCACGGCGGAGCCGCGAAGAAGCGCCGCAGAACGAAAACTTGCTCGAATTGATGGCCGGCAACAACAGAACCAGACCTTGCTCGAACCGATGGCCGGCAACAACACGGCCGAGCTACGAAGACGCGCCACAGGACGACAACTTGCCACTACGGATGGCCGACAACACGGCCGATGCGCGAATAGACGCGCGATAGAACGAAAACTTGCTCGAACCAATGGCCGACAACAACACGGCCGAGCAGCGAAGGCGCGACATAAAATTTCTCGAACCGATGGCCGGCAACAACACGGCCGAGCCGCGAACACGCGCCACAGAACGACAACATGCTGCAACGGATGGCCGACAACGGAAAGACGCGCGACAGAACGAACTTGCCGGAACCGATGGCCGACACCACGGCCGAGCCGATCAGCGACAGCACGAGCGGCGGCTTTCCCCTATCCATGTGGTACGCTACAATGTATGTCTACGGGTATATCTCAAGGTAGAGGGTAGGGTGTCTGGTCACATCATCAGAAGACTGGTTTTAGTATCAAGAGACCAGTTTCACAGATGTTGGAAAGTGGAATGTAGTTTGTGAAAGCCAGAATCCGAAATCAGACGGCCTGGTCATGAGACGTCAGCTATCAACTTGATCTATCGTGCAAATGAATGTAGGACAAACCGGCCGAGCCGATGGCCAAAAACACGGCCGATGCGCGACAAGACGCGGGACAGAACGACAACTTGCCGGAACCGATTGCCGGCAACGACACGGCCGAGCCACGAAGACGCGCCACAGAACGACAACTTGTCGGAACCAATGGCCGGCAGCGACACGGCCGAGCTGCGAAGACGCGCCACAGAAAGAGGACGTGCCGGACCTGATAGCCGGCAACAACAGAACGAGAACTTGCTCGAACCGATGGCCGGCAACAACACGCCCGAGCCGCGAACACGCGCCACAGAACGACAACTTGCTCGAACCGATGACCGACGCCACGGCCCAGCCGATCAGCGACAGCACGAGCGGTGGCTTTCCCCTACCCGTGCGATACGCTACAATGTATGTCTACGGGTATATCTCAAGGTAGATTTTATCATCAGAAGACTGGTTTTAGTATCAAGAGACCAGTTTCACAGATGTTGGAAAGTTGAATGTAGTTTGTGAAGGCCAGAATCCGAAATCAGACGGCCTGGGTTTGAGACGCCCGCTATCTACTTGAGCTATCTTGCAACTGAATGTGGGACAAACCGGCCGAGCTGATGGTCAACAACACGGCCGATGCGCGAGAAGCCGCGCGACAGAACGAGACCTTGCCGGAACCGATGGCCGGCAACGACACGACCGAGCCGCGAAGATGCGCGACGGGAAGAGGACGTGCCGGACCTGATGACCGGCAACAACAGAACGAGAACTTGCTCGAACCGATGGCCGGCAACAACGCGGCCGAGCCGCGAAGACGCGCGACAGAACTGATGGCCGGCAACAACACGGCCGAGCCGCGAAGACGCGCGACAGAACGAGAGCGATGGCCGACAACACGGCCCAGCCGATGTCCGACAGCGCGAGAAGATGCCCGAACCGACTGCCGGCAACATGGCCGAGCCGATGAGCAACAGCACGAGCGGCGGTTTTTGTCTATCCATGCGGCACATTGTAGAGTGTAGTTTTTCTATCATCGCTACTTCTCAAGGCAGTGGTTAGCGTATTTGGGCACATCACCAGAAATAGTTTTAGTTTGTACCAAGAGACCAGTTTCGCAGATTTTGGAAAATTCAATATTGCTTGCGCCGGCCATAATTTGAAATCTGACGGCCTGGTTTTGAGACGCCAGCTCTTTGCTTGATTCATCTTTCAAACAAATGGGTTGGTTCCGCGACGGGGCATTTTCTTGTTTGGAACGTTACAAAAAGGGCCATTGATGCGCGCGCCAGGATCAGCCAAACTATTATGTGTTGTTAGCATTGAATGGCTCTGAGTCACCCTAAACTTGAGCTCCACATCGAGCCGATGCTCGTCGATCCCAACACCATATTCCAAATTGTGAGGGAATGGCACAAACGCCTACAGTACGTAGGAATGTGGTATCACGACGACCAAGTGTATGTGTACGTGCGAAACAAGGAGCGTTTGTCGAGCCTTAAAGTCACGGAGCTACTGGACGGATATGTCGTAATTCAAAAAATATCCACATATTCTAAGGAATCGGGAGCGAGACCAGTGCGTGGAACTGGTGGGGCTAGTTTAACGTCAACAGGAAACTCGCGTACCGCATACCGCTGGTCAAGCCAAATCGCTTCCCCGTTTTCAAGAAAAAACTCTTGCAATAACGGGCGAGACATTATGCACACACAAGATATTAAAATCTGCATTTAGAGCAAGAAATACCCGAGAGAGACTGCAACAATAGAACACGAAAGCATATTCCCATTCCATGAAATCAAGGACCCTCGCGAGCTTGCACGACACGGCCGGGGCGAGGTGGTCGCTCAGCCTGTTGGTGCGCTTGGCCCATGCACGAATGAGGGGGCCCACGGGACCGCCGTTGCTGTTGCGGCGGCGGCGGTCAGTCTGTGCTACTTCTGCATCGGCTGCGTGGAAGGCGGGCGCCGGTTCCTCCATTTCTGTGTCTGTGTCGCTATCGGAGATGTTGTGGACGACGGGAGCCGGCTCTTCAAGTTCGGTGTCTGTGTTGTTTCCCATCCTGAATGTATAAGGATGAGTTTGATTTGTACAGGAAGTCGTGTGTGTTAAGATCCTCCGACACGTTGTGTGTGGGTCTTCGCTGTTGGGTGTCTGCTGTTGCATACAGGCGGAACCAGTGTTGCTACCTAAACCCACACTTTGATAATCTCAAGAGAAAAAAGAGCGCGGAGAACACACGCACATACAATGGAATGTTTTCCGCTTTGCCGCCAAAACCGCAACTTGGGCGGAAAGGAGGATCGCACGTATTTCATTTTGGCAATGATAGTGTATGCATCGTGTAAACACGTGAACATAATCTCCCAAAACACGTGCTTCCTTATGAGCAGAAAGCTGTGGGGCGATGAAACAAGCCAGACCAATCTGCTGATATATTCTTTGTTTTCAACACACGGGTTCCACACACCATAGCTGAAGATGAGAGAGGGATGAAAGTTCCAATCCAGGGACAAAACACCTAGCCGAGTGATCCAAAGAACTTTTTTAATTGAACAAGACAGCCAGGTGTGTGGCGTCCTGTAGGAGCACATGCAGCAGGATGGACAAGCAGCAGAAAAGGTGCAACGGTCTTCTCACACTCACGAAAAAAAAAAACAAGTACACATGTGCTCGTAAAAAAAGCTCCGCTGTGCGTGTGTGTGTCGGGGATGATAGACCTCTGTCCCCATTCATGACGAACCTAAAGGCCCTTGATGTGTTACTATGTATAAAAAAAAAATCTCACCTGAAGGTC